GCTGAGGGCTGCAGGGTGGGTTTTTACTGAGGGTTGGGAGCCTCACTGTGGAGCCCGGGGTTACTTTTTGGGTCTGGGGTCACTTTTGGGGGCTGGGGTCCCTCTATTCCTACTCCTGGTCCTGCTGGCACACTGGAGCCGGGTTTGGTGCCATCTCATCCTTGCCCATCCCGAGGCACTGCAGCAGCTCCTCACTCCATGGGCACCCCAATAATCCTGTGATGAGCTCTGGTGAGCCAGGCACAGCCCACAGCCCATCCCCCCTCACTTCTCATGGCACATCTCCCCTGCACCAGGTGGATTCGTCCGGGACATTCGTCCAGCTGCGCCTTAACCTTGCACAGACGGCATGCAGGAAGCAGACACAGAAGAGACAGAACTGCAGGATCATGGAGAACAGGGTGAGGTGGGGGCTGCACCCCTCGAGCCAGTGCCCATCTCCATACACGGGGACAGGGTGGTTTCACCCCTTCTCCCTCCCTCCTGCCCTGTTGCCATGTGCCCATCCTGTCCAGCACGGCTGCTGGTGCTGGGGGTGATGAGAAAGCCATGCTGCAGGGCTGTGGGGGATGTCCCCAGGGCTGGTGGTGGGGTCTGAGTGCTGGCACCGGTGGCGATGGCCGTGTTGTCTCCGCAGAGAAAGCCAGCCTGCTTGGCCTGCTACAAGTTTGACAACAGCAATGTCCCCAAGGTGCTGGACAAGTACTACAACTGTGGCCCCAGCCACCACTTGGCCGTGAAGGTGAGCTCTCCCCAGGGGGGGCTCAGCTCTGAGACGTGCTCTGGGAGCCCACAGTGACGCCAGCGCCTGTGCTCTGCCCTGCAGGAGATCAGGCAACGTGACGAAGCTGAGTGCAGGGCTGTGGAGGAGGCCGGCAAGGCGAGCGATGCCCTCTATCTGCCTGGCATGTTTGCTTTCTCCAAGGGGCTGCCAGCCTAGGTGCCCACGCACGGTAAGTCCCACCTGGAACGTTCCTCTGGTGAGCACGGGGAGCTGCAGGCAGCGGGCTCCTCCTGCAAACAGCCCTCAGCACCCCCTGTGCCCTCTTTGCAGTCCTGCAGCCACCACATCCCCAGCCCAGGAGGAGGATGCTGACACGGGGCCCCCAGCCCCCAGCTTGCTGCCCCTCAGCGCTGTGCAGAGAAGGGAAGGTCGTCCCGCAACGCCCCCCCAGCTCCTGGCAGTGTCTGCATGCACCATTAAACCCCAGCTCTGCCTCTGTTTCTCTGCTTCATTCCTACCCAGGATCTCGGTGTGCGGGGCAATGGGGTGGGCTGTGCCACCCTCATTCGGAGCCACGCTCTGCTCTGTGGGCACACTGGTGGGCTGGGGAGGAGGGATGGGGACGCTCAGGGGCTCGGCACAAAGCAGCAGAGACCTCAGGGACGGCACATTTACTGCACAGCTGCTCCCCGGCAGCAGGACCCCGTAACCCCCCTCGGTCCCCACGCGCAGCCCCCAGGTCCGCATCCCTCTTTGCAGGACGGTTGCCTGGGGTCAGTTCCAAAACCTGCCAGCGTTGGTGCCAAGGCAGGAGTCCGTTCCCCACATCCCAGGTCCCCGTGGAGCCCCCGAGCCGGGAGCCCGCAGAACGGGAACGGAGCGGAACGGAGCGGAACGGCCGCCTCGATGGCTTCGGGCCGCTCAGAAGACGTAGGATCCGGGGTCGGCGCGCCCGCTCAGCGCCCGCTCAGCCTGCGCGATGGTGTCATCGGCTCGCCGGCCCAACTCGCGGCACTCCCGCAGCGCCTCGCCGAACTGCCGGTACGCCTCCTCCACGATGGAGCTGCGGCGCAGCGGCGGCGGCTCCCAGAACCCCGCCCGCACCCAGGGCTGAGCGGCGCGCGGCGGCGCGGGGCCGGGGCCGCGTCCCAGCGAGCTGTCGAGGTCGCGGCACAGCTGGAAGAGCTCGCTGCCTCGCCCCGACACGCGCTCGCCGTCGACGTCCCGCAGGCCGGGCAGCAGCTCGGGCAGCGCGGTGCGGTAGGCGGCGGTGGCGCAGACGGGGTTGCTGAGCTGGCCGAGCGCGTCGCGCAGCCGAAGGCTCTCCAAGCGCCGCAGACCGGCCAGGCAGCGCAGCTGCTGCAGGCTGCTCACCTGGTTCCCCGCCAGGTTGAGGCTCTGCAGGCTCTCGCAGGAGCCCAGCGGCTCCAGGCTGGAGATGCGGTTGCGCGAGAGGTTGAGGACGGCCAAGGCTTTGAGGCCGGCCAGGGGGCCCAGCTGCGAGATGGCGTTGCCGGAGAGGTCGAGCCACTCCAGGTTGGTGCAGTCGCCCAGGCAGCCCAGGTCGGCGATGCCGCGGCCGCGCAGCTTCAGCAGCAGGATGGACTCCAGAGCGAACTCCCCGGTGCTGGCCTTCAGCAGCTGAGCCGTGATGCGCGCGCCGTCGCCCTCCTCACCCTTCTCTGCCCGTGTCTCCATGTCGGGTTGTGGGGATCCGCACCAGCACTGCGCCAGCGCAGCTCTGCGGGGACACCGGGGGAGGCTGCTCAGAGACGGACACAGTGGGATGGGAGCGATGCTCACAGATGGATGCTCAGGGATCGACACTCGGGGATGGACGCCTGGGGGTGGATGCCCAGAGATGGATGCTCAGAGATGGACAGTCAGGGATGGATGCTTGGGGACGGATGCCCACAGATGGATGCTCAGGGATGGACAGTCAGGGATGGATGCCCCAGGGAGGTGCGAGGGTTGCTCAGGGCTGGTGGGACCCCCGTGTGCACTCGCAGATCGCCCACCCCTGTGCTCCTACCCCTCTCGGGTGCCCCCGTTTCTCACCCCCACCTCCACCCGCACACAACGAACGGCGGCTCCCGGCAGCCCCTCGGCTCCGCCTCCCGTTGTCACGGCGACCAGCGGGCGGAGCGAACGGCACACAGCGGCATTGCGCCAGCGGTGGGGCGGGGGGGACAGACAGACAGACAGAGGGGGGACAGTTGGGTGGATGGAAGGGAGGGAAGGAAAACGGGTGCCTGGATAGACAGACAGTCGGACAGATGGGTATAGATGGGGACGGATGGTACAGATGGATAGATGGGATGCGTGGACAGATAGATGGGGCACAGAGAAGGAGGGGGAGATGGGGAGATGGGTGGAGGGATGGATGGTGGACGCATCCATGCATGCATGGATGGAAGAGGAGTGAAGGGATGTGTGGATGGATGGGACAGAGGAAGGAAGGGAGTAGCAGACAGGCAGGCAGGCAGAGGAGTAGGACAGAGGGTGGTTGGTGTCCTCCAGCTCCCACAGCTCTCGCTGGCTGGGTGCAGCAGGTGGGGCACTGCTCCCAGGGAACAGCCCCAGGCCCACAGCAGTGCAGCAGTGCTGCGGTGCTACCAGGGCTGCTCCCATGGCACTGCGCACCCGGGGGGCCACAGCCCTGCAGCAGTTGGAGCTGATGTCCCTGCACCACAACTGTGCACTACAACAGCTTCACCACCATCACAGTCCCTGGTCACGTCTCCGCGTCACAGCTGTGCACAGACTCACCTTCACTGATGTCCCAGTGGTGTCTCCGGTCCCCAAGCTCACCGAAGGCGATGTCCTTGGTCACGTCCCCATGCCACAGCCATGCACGTAGCCTTCTCGTGATGAATGTCCCTGGAGATGCCCATCCCACAGCCGTGCCCACAGTCTCGTCGTTTCCAGTGTCCCTGGTCCCATCACCATGCCACAGCTGTGCCCACAGCTTTGCCATCACCAGTGTCCCTGGTCACGTTGCCGAGCTCACACCTCACTCTAACTGGCATAGCCAGTGATGTCCCTGCTCCCAAGCTCAGCAGGCATGTTGCAGAGCCCCAGGCGCAGTGCCTGCATACCCAGGACATCCCCTGGCTCCAACTCAGTGCAGATTCCAGGGCCAGCCCCCCATGTCCCCTCTGCCCCCAAGCGACCACTCCAGTCCCCCATTACCGGCAGCCCCACACTGTGGCCCCTCTGCACTTCCCTTCCCCCGGGGGCTGCACCCATCCTGGGGCCGGAAGGTGCCCGGTGCCAAGGGAAGGGCGGCAGCAAGCACAGCCCCGGCCCCCTCCCTTCCGTGGCCACCGGCCCCCCGGCATCAAAATGAAATAACAGGAAACGCAGCCGGGAGCCCCACAGCCCTGCAGAGGAGATAAACCGGAGTCCAGGGGCTGCAGAGCTGGGCCCCCAGCCACGGTCGCACCAGGGGCTCTGCGGGCAGTGAAGCACGGAGCGGGGCCTCATCCTGCGCCCGGGGGCTGCGTCCTGCTCTGCCCCGTGCCAATAAAAGCCCGATTCTACGTGTGCTCCTGCACAGCTCCCGCTCGCGGTTCCACAAGCAAACAAGAGCGGATTCAGCTCAGCGCACCGCACAACATGGGGAAAACAGCCCTCGGGCACAAAGCTGCTGCTGCACCACCAGCAGCCAGGGGGCCTTTGGGACCCCACGCAGCCCCCAGCGTCTGCCCTGGGGACGCTGCACCCCGGCTGCCCCGCAGCACCAACACTGCTCAGCCCCCGTCCTCTGTGCCACCCTCTCCCCGTGCAGCTGTCCCTCCGGCGCGACGTCCCCAAGGAAAACTTGGCAAAGGGCATTTTATTGGCATTTAGGGCTGGTTCCTGCCACAGTGGAGCCGGCCGTGCCTGGGCAGGGTGGGAGCCCACAAGAGCCACCGGCGGTGCTGCATTCAGGGCGCTGGAGCCACTGAGCTGCACCCCAGATGGAGACGGGCTGCAGCGGCACCGAGCCCACAGCCAGCATGCAGGGAAAAGGCGGCTGAGAGCATCGCCGTGCCCGGAGGGAGCTGCCACCTTCCACCGTGCCACAGGAGCACGTCGGCTCTGCCCCCACCCGTGCCACGACGCAACGCAGCTCCTGGGGTCCACGGTGGGCGGCAGCACCAACAGCGCCCATCCCACGCCGGAGCCGCCGGATCCCTCGCCCGCCTGCGGTGCCAATGCAGGACGGCGCTCAGGGGCAGAGCGCGGCGGAAGCCGGCGCCGGTGCCACCCAGCCCTGCTGCGGCGCAGGCGCGGTGCTGTGGGTGCGCTCGTGGCGCAGCAGGTGGGTTTTGCGGCTGAAGCTCTTGCCGCACTGGGTGCAGATGTAGGGCCGGTGGCCGGTGTGCACGGCCTGGTGCCGCACCAGGTTGGTCTTGGAGCTGAAGCGCTTAGCGCACTGGGAGCAGCCGTAGGGCCGCGTGCCGGTGTGCACCGCCTGGTGCCGCGCCAGGTGGGACTTGCGGCTGAAGCCGCGGCCGCACTGCTCGCAGGCGAAGGGGCGCGCGCCCGCGTGCGCCTTGGTGTGGGCGATGAGGTTGGGCCGGGAGCTGAAGCAGCGCCCGCACTGCGGGCAGGCGAAGGGCCGCTCGCCCGTGTGCACGCGCAGGTGCCGCAGCAGGTGCTGGTTGTGGGCGAAGCCGCGGCCGCAGTCGGGGCAGGCGAAGGGCCGCTCGCCCGTGTGCGTGCGCTGGTGCGTGGCCAGGTTGGGCTTGTGGCTGAAGGTCTTGTCGCAGTGCGGGCAGGCGTACGGCTTCAGCCCCATGTGCCCGCGCAGGTGCGCCGTCAGGTGCCGCTTGTCGCTGAAGCCGCGGCCGCACTCGGCGCAGGCGAAGGGCCGCCCCTCCAGGTGCAGCCGGCGGTGCGACGTCAGGTTCTTCTTCCAGCTGAAGCTCTTCCCGCACTCGGGGCAGGGGAAGGGCTTCTCGTCGGCGGGCGGCTCGGCGTCGGCGTCGGCGTCGGCGTCGGCATCAGCGGGCGGCTCGGCGTGCAGGCGTTGGTGCCGCAGCAGGTGCTGCTTGTGGGCGAAGCCGCGGCCGCAGAGCGCGCAGGCGAAGGGCCGCTCGCCCGTGTGGGTGCGCAGGTGCCGCACCAGGTGCGTCTTCTTGCGGAAGCGCCGCCCGCACTCGGAGCAGGGGAACGGCCGCTCGCCCGTGTGCGTCTTCTGGTGCGAGCGCAGGTGGATCTTCTGGCGGAAGCGGCGGCCGCACTGCGCGCAGGGATAGGGCCGCTCGCCCGTGTGCACCCGCAGGTGCCGCGTCAGGTGCGCCTTCTTGCCGAAGCCCTTCCCGCACTGCGCGCAGGCGAAGGGCCGCGGCGGGGCGGGGGCCGGGGGCACGCACTGCCCGCACTGCGCCGCGCAGCAGCAGTGTTGGCAGGCGCCGGCCGGACCCTCGCCCAGCAGCGGCCACGCGAAGGCGGGCAGCGTGCCGTAGCCCAGCTCCCCCGGCTCTTCCGGCAGCTCCGGCTCCTCCATCGGCTCCGGCTTGCAGGCGCTGCCCGGGGGCTGCCCCGCCAACAGAGCCTCAGCGCCCAGCCCGGCCGCCCACTCCTCATCCTCTTCCTCCACCTTCACCTTCCGCACCAGCCAGTCCTCTGTGGGCACAGAGCGCTGCCGGTGTGCCCCACACCAAGGCAAGGCGGCACCACCACGGGTGCCAAGCGGCCGTCACCGCAACCAGCTGTGTCGTGTGCCGACACATCCCCTCACCTGAGCAGCCGAGCTCGGGCCCCTGCGTGGCACCTGTGGTGCTGCTGCCATCGGCATCGCCCTCGGGCAGCACCTCCTCCTTGGGCACCAGCAGCCTCGCTGGGGGATACACGATAAAGCTGAGTGCCGTGCGCTGCCCCGGCCCCACGCAGACCCCGGTGAGGGACGGGCGCTCGCCCACAGCCCTGGCACCCACCTGAGCCGGCACATCCAGGTGCCTCGCCGTCCTCCAGCTGTGCCCCGGCACACAGCTCCTCCGCCTGCGGCACCGGCTCCGGTTTGGCGATGGGAACACCTGCACAGGATGGGGCCGAGCTGAGCCACGGGAAACCAGCGGGACCAGCACCGTGAGGGTACCAGGGTCGGGGCCGTTGCCCTGCTGAGCCGCCGGGTGCGGGGCACGGGAGCACAGCCCGCAGCGGGCAGCAGAGCCTTACCCAGGGCCAGCAGGGCGTCGAAGTTCTCCCTCATGGTGCTGCCGTCGGCCTCACAGCAGGGGGGGCTGCAAGGGAGGCGGGGGGAGGAGGGAGGGGGCCAACGGGAAACACACAGCTCGGAACCCCCCAGCCTGGATCTTGGACACCGCCCGCCGCCCACCGCCTCCCGCTGCCTCCCGTCACCCCCCGTCCCTCCCACCCCCCGCAGCCCCCACCTCCCCTCCCCACCCTCCCGGCTCTCCCATTGTCCCCAGCCCCGCCGCCACCTCCCATCCGTCTCTCACCGCCGTCTCGGGGCGGATCTCCGCCGCTCCTACCGCCGCCGCCGCCGCCGCCGCCGCGGGGCCCGGCCCCGCTCCCCGCTCCCCGCCGCCCGCGGCGCTCCGCCGCCCGCCGCCCCCAACGCCCCACCGGGACCGACCGCCGCCGCCGCCGCCGCCGGGACCGCGTCGGACCCCGCGCAGCGCCCACGGGGCTCAGCCGCCGCCGCACGGCCCTGGCCCGGCCCTGGCAGCGGGAAGCGGCAGCGGCAACTACAGCTCCCGGCGGCCGCCGCGCAGCGCCGTGCGGGGCGGGATGGGACGGGCTGGGCTGAGCGCTCCGCCCCGAGCCGAGCCGTGCTGAGCCGTGCTGTGCTGTGCTGTGCTGAGCCGAGCCGAGCCGAGCCGTGCCGTGTCGAGGCAGTCCTCCCCTGCCGTGCTCAGCCTTGCCAAGCTGTGCCAAACCAAGCTGTGCCGTGCCGTGCCAAGCCGTGCCACGCTGGGCTGTCCTGTGTCAAGCTGAGGCATTCTGTGCCCAGCAGAGCTGACGTGTGTCGTGCCGAGGTGTGCTGTGCTGAGCCCAGCTGTGCTCAGACAAGCTGGGCTGCCCTGTGCCGTGCTGAGCTGCGCCAAGCCGGGCCAAACCAAGCCGTGCCAAATCAAGCTGTGCCGTGCCGTGCCGTGCTGTACCAAGCAGCCACGTCTTCTGCCGAGCCAAGCTGTGCCATGCCGTGCTGTGCTGTGCCATGCTGAGCCGTGCTGTGTCCCCAGAGAGCAAGGCAGCCCAAACTGGGCACAGCGTGCAGAGTTGGGAACAGGGATACGGTGTGTGGTTGGGGATATGGGCTCAGAGCGGGGCACGGCAGCCTGGGAGCTCTGGACTTGGAACTGGGCAGAGGGACATGGAGGGGAATGCAGCTGTGAGGACGCAGGAACTCAGCCGTGGGGCTCAAAGACAGGGATGGGGCTGCTGTGGGGCAGGGAGCAGGCAGCATGGAGCTTGGGGTGGGACAGGGCTGTGTTTGTAGGGGCATGGGGGTACACGGGGCTGCGCGGAGCAGGGAGCGGGGCCAGGGCTGCCCCAGGTGACTCCAACTTGTGGGGCTGCTTTCTGTGGGTCTGAGGGCTGAATGCCCCCACAATGGGCAGAGTCCCCTCACACATTCCTGGCAGGGATGAGCGGGACCAGGACATGGGGATCAGGAGCATCCTGTCTGGGATGAGAGGGACACAGCGGGGGCACCGATCCAAAGCATTGTGCCCTGGAAACGGCACTCAGCTTCCCAGGGGCTGCTGGGGGGGTCCTGCTGGCAAGCAGCTGGGACCAATCAGCAGTCCCACAGCTGGTCCAAGTCAGATGGAACCACCCCATAAAAAGCCACTCTTCGGTGTGGCCTTGGGGTTTGGAGAGGTTTGAGGATAGGGGATGGAGTGCTGTGGGTCTGGCTGGCCCCAGGTGAGGAGCTGGGAGTGGGGATATTGGGCACTGTACCCCCGAGTTCCAGTCCTGACATGGTCCCACTGGGCAGGGGGCGTCCCATGGGCAAAGCAATAGGGACTAGGACCACATCCCCATTCCTGCCATGCCCACCCCGGTGTGTGCCCTGAACTGGGGACCCCAGGAAGGATCCCTGAATGACACGAAGGAGTGGGGCTGGAGCTGACAGTGGGGCTGTCCCTGAGCGCTGCGAGTTCTCCATTAATACTGCCACCAAATCTCCTTCTCTGCAGGCTGGGAAGTGGTGTGCGATGCTGAGGATGGTGCGGTGGCAGCGGTGTGGGTCCCCTGTGGTTACGGGCATCGTGGCCGTGCTGCTGCTCTGCGTGGTGACTGAGGCTGCCAGAGGGTGAGTGCTGCGTCCCCGCGGGTCCCCACGCCAGGATGGGCGCACTGAGGTGACACCAGTTGGGTGGTGGGTGCCGCTGCAGGAGGTGGTGTGAGCAGACAGAGCAGGTGACAGAGGAGGAGGTGGTGACACCCCGGCGTGAGGACGTGGTGCCGTGCCCCAGCATGTACCAGTACAGCCTGGCAGGTTGGCGCATCGACCTCAGCCGCATGCGCCACGTCTATGGGGGGGAGCACGGCGTGCCCCCAACCAGCACCCATCCCGGGGCTGCCATGTGCTACATCTACAGGTGAGTGCAGGGGGTGACATCGGTGGGTGAGGGGCACGTCTGTCCCTCTGCCCTCTGCCTGATGCCGAGGCCGTGCCCACTCTGCAGACCCCCGGAGACGCAGCTGGTGGTGCGGAACCGCACGGTGCGTGCCTGCTGTGCCGGCTGGAGCGGGCCCCACTGCACAGAAGGTAGGGGCTGGGGGATGCGACGACACTGTGGTGATGCAGTGTGGGGCTGGGGAGCACCACAGTGCTGAGCTGCTGTGCTGTGCGGCAGCGGAAGGCTCACTGGGACAGTGCCACTCCAGCTGGCAGTGCCAGGACGCGCTGGGTGCCCACAACCTCTCCGCCATGAGCATGGCCGAGTGCTGCCGCCGGCCCTGGGGGCACAGCTGGAGGAACGGCTCCTCTGCTCTCTGCTTCACCTGCAGCCGCCAGCCCCTCACCGGTGAGCGCAGGGCACGGGGGGGCGGGGTGTCATTGGGTGCCCACTGAGCAGCACTCGCCCCCCGCTGCAGGTGACGTTCCCCTGCCTGCAGCACCGCGAGGTCCTGCTGCCAGGCATCGTGGACCCACCGCCAGCTGCACCACGTGGGCCGGATCCCGGTACCGCAGCTTCGACGGGCGGCACTTTGGCTTCCAGGGCGAGTGTGCCTACAGCCTGGCCGCCTCCACCGACAGCACCTGGGCTGTCAGCATCACCACAGGCAGCGCGCCGGTACCCACCACCCCCGGGGGGATGAGGAGGTGTTGGGGGGCTGGGTTACCCCGTGGATCATTGCTCTGGGGTAGGGGCTGTCCCCACTGCTGTCCCCCCACCTGGTCCCCGCTCACGGCCGCTGTCCCACAGGTGCTGCACATGATGTTTGGGCTGGACACCGTGGTGGCACGGGGGCTCAACGTCTCTGTGAATGGCGTGGCAGTGCCGGAGGGACAGCCGCACCTGCACGGCGGTGAGGGCTGAGGGGCAGCTGCGTGTTCCCATCCCCATGTGACAGCGCCGCTGGGGACGCAGTGGTTCGGGGTGGCACAAGCAGACAGTGCCAACCTCAGCCCTCACCATTCCCCTCGTTATCTCTGCGCCCTGCTGAGTGCCCTGGTTGCGTCCCTGCAGGGATCAGTGTCTCCTGGCTTGGGGACTTTGTGGCTGTGGACAGCGGGCTGGGTGTGCGCCTCAGGTTGGACGGGCGCGGGACGGTCTATGTGACGGTCAGCGCGGAGCTGCGGGGCAGCACACAGGGGCTCTGTGGCCCCTACAATGACGACCCGACTGGTAACACCCCATGTGTCACAGCACCACTGTTTGGTGATGGGGAACTCAGGGTGGCTGTGCTGAGGGCACGTGCCATGTCCCCAACCCCACTTTGCCCACAGATGACTTCCTGCGGGTTGAAGGGGACGTTGCCCCGTTGGCTGCCAGCTTTGGGAACTCCTGGAGGATCCTGGATGCCGACCCTGAGGTATGGGGCCGGGCAGAGCACGGACAGGGCTGAGATGGGGACCATCCCCTGTGGGGCTCCCTTGGGGCTGCGTCCCCACCCCACTCCCAGCACAGCCCTACAGCAGTGGGATGTCTCCGATCTGATCCCACCCTGGCGCAGCTCTCCTGCAGTGATGTGGTGGAGCCCCGTCCCAGCTGTGCCGTGGGCAGCACAGCACAGCGGGCGGCCGAGGCCACGTGTGGGATGCTGCTCACCGACCCCTTCCACCAGTGCCACGAAGCGGTGAGTCCTACTGGTGGTGTCGAGGCACATGGACCCCCATGCCCTGACGGTCCGTCCCACACCAGGTCGACCCCCGTGGCTTTTACGAGGCCTGCCTGGAGCTGCACTGCAGGGAGGGGGGAACGGGGCCCTCGCCACCCGCTGCTGTCTGCGACACGTTGGCCGCCTACGTGCGGGACTGCGCCCAGCGGAGAGCCTACATCGAGTGGCGCCGGCCGGGCCTCTGCGGTACGGGCTGTGGGGCTGGGCTGCATCCCACCCTGCTGGGACCCCATCCCCAATAGCTCATGTGTGGGACCCCTGGTGGGTTGTATGTGCACCCCTAGGGGTGTGTGTGCATTCCAGCTGCTCTTGAGGGTACCCCAAGGGCTCCTGTGGGTGCCCCAATGGCTTTTACATACACCCTGATCACTTCTGCATGCACCCGTTGGCTCACTTGTGCACCTCAATGGCTCACCAAAGCACTCGTGTGCGCTCCAGTGGATTGTGGTGGGACATGGGGGGATGTGGTGGGATGGGGGTGGTGGGATGCAGTTGACTGGAAATGGTGGGATGGATTTGGGTCATGGGGAGGTGGATGTGGTGGGATGTGATGGCACAGGTTTGGGATATGGTGGGATGGAATGCTGTTGAGTGGCTGTGGCTGAATACCATGGGATGGATGTGGTGGGATAGAGGGGGAGAGATTCTAGATGTTTAGAATGGGCCCAGTGGGACTTGATGGGATGGATTTGGGATACGGGGGGATGGATGTGGTGGGATGGATTTGGGATACGGGGGGATGGATGTGGTGGGATGGATTTGGGATACGGGGGGATGGACGTGGTGGGATGGATTTGGGATATGGGGGGATGGATGTGGTGGGATGGATTTGGGATATGGGGGGATGGACGTGGTGGGATGGATTTGGGATACGGGGGGATGGACATGGTGGGATGGTTTTGGGATACGGGGGGATGGACGTGGTGGGATGGATTTGGGATACGGGGGGATGGATGTGGTGGGATGGTTTTGGGATACGGGGGGATGGACGTGGTGGGATGGATTTGGGATACGGGGGGATGGATGTGGTGGGATGGTTTTGGGATATGGGGGGATGGATGTGGTGGGATGGTTTTGGGATATGGGGGGATGGACGTGGTGGAATGGATTTGGGATACAGGGGGATGGACGTGGTGGAATGGTTTTGGGATATGGGGGGATGGACGTGGTGGAATGGTTTTGGGATAC